TATTTAAAACTGAGTTTTACACTACATTTGCAGCAAAATTGACACACATAGACTTTTTTTTTTTTTTGCTTTCAGAACCTACATGTAAAGGAGAACACGCACTGTTCATTTTCAGTGTCTGGGTTGTTTCATTCGATGTTATACTCTTATCTGCAACCATTGTGAATCAAGTCACAGAATTCCATTCCTTGTATAGGTGTATACCCGGTCGTGGGCTTGCTGGGTCATATGATAGTTCCATTTCTAGTTTGTTGGCTTGTTTGCCATGCTGTTTGCCATGCTGTTTGCCTCAGTGACTGCCCTAATTGATGCAAGTGAAGTGCCATCTCATTGGTTTTTTTTAAAGATTTATTTTTATTATTTTTTCATTGGAAAGGCGGATATACAGAGAGGAGAGACAGAGAGGAAGATCTTCCGTCCGATGATTCACCCCCCAAGTGAGCACAACGGCCGGTGCTATGCTGATCTGAAGCCAGGAACTTCTTCCAGGTCTCCCACGCGGGAGCAGGGTCCCAAAGCTTTGGGCTGTCCTCGACTGCTTTCCCCGGGCCACAGGCAGGGAGCTGGAAGGGAAGCGGGGCTGCCGGGATAGAACCGGCGCCCATATGGGATCTGGGGCGTGCAAGGTGAGGACCTTAACCACTTGCACCACCGCGCCGGGCCCCATCTCATTGTTTTTGATATGTACTTCCCTGATGGTTAGGGCTGTTGAACATTTTCTCATATATTTGTTGGTCATTTGTATTTCTTCTTTAAAGTACTGCCCATTGAGATCCTTCCACCATTTCTTAACTGGATTGGCTGTTTTCTCATTGTTATATTTTTTGAATTGCTTGTATATTCTTGATATGAGTCTTCTGTCAGTTAAGTAGCTTAAAAATACAAAGGCTCTTCAAGTTACCGATTGTTTCCTTTGATGTACAGAAGCTTCTAAGTTTGACATAATCCCACGTGTCCAGTTTTGCTTTTGTTCCCTGTACTTTGGGGCTGAAACCAAGACATCGTGAATGTCTTGAAGCGCCTCCCCTACAGTTTCTTCCAGCTACTTCATAGTCTCATGCCTTCGATTTAGGTCTTTGATCCATCTTGAGTTGGTTTCTGTGAGAGGCAGTGATACAGTGAGAGGCAGGGACCTACCTTCATTTTTCTACATATGTACATTCAGTATTGCCAGCATCATTTAGTGAAGAGACTTATCCTTTTTCCAACATATACACTTTGTTGAAAATCAGCTGACTATTTGCATATGGGTTAATTTCTGGGCTCTCTATTCTGTTCCACTGACCTGAAAGTCAGGTTTTTTGCTTTGTTTTGTTTGCCAATACCAGGCTGTTTTAATTACTGTTTTTTAAATAAAGAGTTGTAACACCTCCAACTTGATATTTTGTTTTTCATGATCACTAAAGTAGGAAATCATTCAGGAAGTGTACACTTCTAGGCCCACCTATGACTCATTCTTTCCTTCCCCACCACCCGCCCTACCCTTGTCAAATTAAATTTCATATCCCTTTATTTATAGTAGTAAAACATACCCAAGCTTGCAATCTATCTTTAAGAACTTTCCGTCTATCTTCAGTTAGCTCAAATCACATTTCTTCTGAATTACCGGAAGCACGCCTCCACCTTGGCCTTCATTCATTTTATAAAGTGACCAATACGATCATTTCTAAGCACACACATGATCCTTCTCTCTCACTGAGGTCCTTCAATACATTTCCCTTTCTTTCGGCATTAAAAACCTAATCACTTAATGACTTACAAGGTGCTACCCACCCAGTGTGTTCCTTTGCGAACACTGCCTCTGGGCTTCATTTTGTTTTTAAATGTGTTGTGTTAACTGCAGCCTCATAGACTTTAAAGATGATCTTCACTCACCCTAGAACGCCCCGCACAAATTTTCACCTGGTCACCTCTGCCTCCTAATTAATGACTTTCCTTTAAAAATTCTCCATCAAAAGTAGGTGCTTCTCTTATTCTTCTTTGTAATATCCTACAATGTGCTTTCAAATAACCATCAGTATTTTCAATTATATGCCATTTGGTTTGAACATACAGTTAATGCTGGGCTCTCTATATGGACTACATAGCTGTCTTAATTACAGGTTCAATGAAGACAGTGATTATATGCATTTTCTACTTCACTCTAGCCTTGATGCCTTTTTTGAAGTTGTTTCTTGAATGAATTAGCAAATCCAAATGTCTGCGTATTGTTTCACAAGCTGCCTACTTTCTAAGACACAGAACATTTTGTTCCAGCTTTTGAAAGACATGCTAATTCAATCAACCTCTTTGTAGCAAGATCTGAACTTAAAAGTTGGATCTGAGTTACAACTCTATTATACATACAGTTCCTATATACAATTGAGACGCCACCTGTCGGACGAAACGGTAAGAACCGCTGCTGATTCTCAGCCCCGTCCTCCCTTGCCTGCATTAAGGATTTACTAACGTCAGAAGAACATGAGAATTTCCTCTTGACCTTTACCTAACTTCAATGGGCTTGACAGGTGTCCCGTGGCTGGATGGGGCTGGGAGCTCCACCCTGGACATTCACAGCATCTCATTCTGGAAATATCCTGAAAGTTGATCTGTCTCACTGCTTTGGTGGCAGAATGCAGAAGGATCGCTACCGAGTTCTGTGTTTGGCAGCTCAAAGGATTCCAAAGAGAGCAATAGAATTGGAGTTTTCAAAATACTTTACCAAAACAGCTCGTCTGAAAGTGCTGAGACATCATAGATCATAGATCTTTAAGGACGGAGGGGGCAGGAAGCTGGGATGGAGACAAATGTATTCAGATAAGAAGCTGAAGGGGAGAGATCATCAATGACCGAAGGCTCCAACACGCTTACAGAAGAACCCAGAGGAGGCAGATGGAAACATCACCCAGGTCACTTTGCCTATGACGAAAGAACGTCCCCTCAGGCCCCACCACCTCCCACAGTCCACATGCTCCTTAACCTGGAAAGGGCAGAAAGAACAAAGAAACCAACCTCCATCTGTCCCTAAGGCAGGAGACTTATCTGTCCCAAGTCCCCAATAGGAAAGCAAAAGGAGAGCGTGACCTGGTGAGGTAGGCGATTTTGACTGTTCCACTGAAGAAGGCATTTGTAATTACCAAAGTGAGCCTGTGTTTACAATTTTAAGTAAACATAAGACCTTTTGTTTCCTGAAACCAATGAGAAAAAAAAATTGTTCACCTGGTTTATATCCACGGGAAGGAAAGGGTGATTAGCACTGAGTTAGTGGGAAGGGACAATGGAAGATAAATAAGGAAATGTTTTTTGATCAAATCCCATAAGTACTACTTATTCACAGCAACAGCTACATCTAGGATGCTGTGAGTAAATAACCCTTTAGAATAAATTTGAAAAAGATATTTTATGCTAATGAGAGGCTTACGATATTTGAAGTATATTAGGCAAAGTGCTGTAGCAAATAACCCTTCAAAAATGTATAATGTACACACACAAGCATATCTAGTATATTCCTTCCTGTCTGGATGATCAGCTGGCAATTATTCAAAGGCCCAGACTCAAGGAGGCTCTGCAACTAAGGAGACAAAATGTACAGTTGAGAGGCCAAGCCTGGAAGTAGCCGGTGCTGTCTCAAGCTCTTCCTCTGGCTAGACCCAGTCAAACAGAGACCCCTACCAGCAGGGCAGGCTGGCGCCCCAGACGGTCTGCCCAGGACAAAGAGGAAAGCGGTGGTGCCTGCTGCATGGATCATGATAAAACTGTAATTACATGTTGCACCGAGGCTCACAGGCCTCATTAGCCTATGGATTTAAATGAGATTACATTAATATTTATGTCCAAATTTGCAAAGATACACTGATGGACTACAGGTCCTCAATGCCCCCTCTAAATGATTATGCAGCTTATTTGGAGTGGGGTGGGGAGCTCCAGCAAGATATCCAACAGGCTCAAAAATAATTCCATTAATATGATTCTATTCTGACTTCCTCCTAGCAGAAACAAAAATAACACCAGAACTAGAAATTATTTTCTGAGAACATTTTATATGCTAGTCATTTCTCTAAATATGTTCTATATATTTGCTCATTTACTTTTCAAGTATTCGACCCCTTTTCCAGACAAGGAAATCAAGGCATAGAGAGGCCAAATTAATTTGCCTCTACTTGCGGTGCTAGTGGCAGCAGGGTAGGATTCAAATGTGTTCATTCTGGCTACAGAGCTTACCTGCTGGGCTCTACATTCCCAAGCTTTCCATGCCTTGGGTGCTGACACACTTGGAACAGCAATGTCTTAGGGTGAAGTGCTCTGGCTGCCACAGAAAAATGGCTGGCTTCAATAACAGGCATTGATTTTCCTACCATCTGAGAGGCTGCAGAGCCCTACACACATGTTCTGCAGAGTTTCCTCTCTACTGAGGATCTTCCTGGCAGCCCAGGGCTGCCCTCTCATTAGCTTTTTCCCTCTTGAATGACCACAAGGCCCCATCTCGGGCCCTCTCGGAGCTTCCACCACCCCTTTCACAAGGCTATCACACAAGCAGGACTGAACTTCCAACTTAGAGATCAGAGGAAGACCACAGTCCCTCCATAGCACATATTTGCTCCTGGCCCTTCCCAGCCTGTAATTGCCAGCGGTTCCTGAACTCTGGAAATAGGAAGACAGCCACATGTCTGATGTCTACTCTCCCCTTCATCCTTTGACTCCTCAGTGGCAACGTGCAGAATTTTACAGAGCTTCCCAAGAAAGTCAGTCCTGCCCTCCTCCCTTCTCAAATCCAGCGCCTTGTCCTGCTCTAGTATAGGAAAAACAACACAAAGAGTTTGTTCCCATTTTCCTTGTCTATCCCAAGTGCCCATGTCCAAAATTCCTTCCTTTCCCTTTACTCCCAAATACAGCCCCCTCCTCCTTTACCACTCTCCCCTTTGCCCTTTAACTCATGCATGCTAGACACCATGCTCCAAGTTTCCTTGTGGCATGGCAGGCTCGCCCAGTCTTGAGGGCACCTGCAAGGTGCCTTGTTTGTGCACACTGAGCTCTAGAAGTGGTTGGGGTTGGGTACACAGTCTGTCAATCATCCCTGGACTACAAATAAGCTGAAGGTAGGATTCATTCCTGCAAGAGGAAATAGGGATTTACTAACTGGCTGACCCAAAACAGAAAGAGACAGGCTATCTGGGACCATCAAATGAAGCTGTCATGAAGCAGACAGGCTTCAGGGAAAATAGTGTGTGTTATCTAGGCCACACTGCCATTAGGTATGACAGTTGCATGTCCTGCAATTTCTAGGTCAGCCCCAATTTTAAATACTCTATCACCTTGTCACACCACATTTCCCAAGTTTGTATTTGGAAAATATGACCTCCAAATCTTTGGGACACTCAGCCCACATTTCAATTTATGGGGAAGAGCCAACCTTAATGGTGCTGAGGAGTATGTTTCAGAACAATAAATCTATTTCTGGGGACAAAATTTGAGGGAATAAACTGAAACCAATAAGACCTTAATAAGTGGAAAACAAAGACTTGAAAAGCACAGTTAAGAATTTCACAGCCCTGAGAAGTAGCTGTAAGACCACATGGGAAGGACCCCCTTGCTTACACATGGAGCAGAGATCTGAGGGATGGATGCCTCAGAGCATATAGTATGGGCAGTCCTTCCCCATTATAAACTTCCCTGGACCCAAAGAGGGTGACATAAAGGGCCACACACAAAGTCTTTGAAGAGGGACCAAGACCTCCATAATAAGTCATATCTCACTAACTGAAATCTAAGACTAGAAATGAGAATTTCGTAACTCACTGTCTTTCCCAGACAAGTGAATGGAAAAAAGGATACCAGCTAAAGGCATTCTAAAACTGGGTCCTTCTCTGGCTAAACCATATTTAAAATGATGCATAACACCTATGTTTTGCATAATACATCTGTACATATTTGTAGAACCTGTTTTATTTTTCTGATTAAATGTCTCTTTTTAAAACTATAGAACTTGTTTTTTTTTTTCTGAAAAGCAGAAAATCCAGTTTTGCTTCTTATGGGTCAGAAAAGAGATAGCTTGAGGTTCAATAAAGTCTGATAGGCAGAGGATGATGAAGTTGGGCTTACGTGGAGCAGGGTTGTGTGTGTTTGTGTGTGTCCATTGTTGTTGGCGTGAGGGATACCGGATGGGTGTGTATGTGGAAAATGGTCAAGGACATTCAAACTGCTAATGCGCTACACTTCCAGCCTGAGGCAGACACGGCAAGTCAGTTTCTATCTCTGTCTCTTAGGGTTGCAGTGAGTCTCTTCAATGCAATGAGTCTTAAAACTCTTCCAAGTGATTTGGGGCAGATGCTGTGGCATAACAGGTTAAGCCGGTGCTTGGAGATCCACATCTCACACTGGAGTGCCAGTTTGGCTTCTAACTGCTCTACTTCCAAACCAGCTTCCTGCTAATGAACCTGCGAAGGTTGTGGATGGGACCCAACTTCTTGGTCTCTGCCACCCCACTAAGAGACACAGATGGAGTTCCTGGCTCCTGGCTTTGACCTGGCTCAATCCTGGTTAGTGAGGCAATCTGAGAAATGAACAAACATGTGATGAATTTATCTATCTATCTATCTATCTATCTATCTATCTATCTATCTATCTCCTCTCACTCAACCTTTCAAGCAAATCTTTCTTAAAATGTCAAGAGATTTACTGAATTCTAGGGTACACCTATTGTTTGCCTTCAGGTAAATATAAAAATAAACTTCTCTGGCAACATGACCATTTTATTGTTGTTAACATTTTTGTAGAACAAACATTAACACTGATGTCCGTGTCTTAGGTGCTGCAGGCTTTCTACCTCTGTGGTTTTCTACTTTAGGAAAAACCCACACCCAGGGCAGCTGCCAGCCTACAGAAGGTTTTCAAGGTTTTCAAGCTAATTAAAATGCTGTGCCAGGGCAAGACTTGGGAAGAAATACAGACTGGGTTACATCACCTGGCCTGTTCACTGGAACCTCTTTTCCAGCTCTCATGAGGGTGGGATTTTCCAACTGGCCACAATCCACACTTTAAGGATTCACAATAAAATTTACAAAATCTGAAATACTTTAAAGACAGAATCAGGCAAGTGCTCTCAAACAGAAAGCCCAGAGGTTGAACTATCTCAGACAAAGATCAACTGTTTTTGGGGGTTTTTTGGTTTTTGTTTTTTTTAAGCCAGAGACTCGAAAATTGTTTTTGCTTTTAGAGTTCCCACAGGACAAGCCAGTTCCCCCAGATGCTACAGGGAGCTCATGACTGCACAAGGTTGCAGGGCAACAATGTCGCCCTCTGGAAAGGAAACCGTTTTGTCTTGGTGATGAGAGAGTCATGCCTAAAAGGCCAACCTATATAATTTTAAAAGGCCAAATGAGTGGAGGCAAAATATACTGTGGAAGTTCAGAAAAGGAGGAAAGACAATTGTGAGCCAGAGGACTTCCACAAGGTTCATGGGGAATTCCAGTGTATGACATGGAAAAAGGGAGAGAAAGACAGGTTGGTGACCATAGAACCAAAGCTGTCTGGTTACAAGTGTGAGGGCAGATGAGGACAAAGAGGACAGCATGAACAGCTTGGAAATCTGAAGTGAAGACCTGGGACCATGAAAGTATTCTTAGAGAAAAAAACATGATGAATATTGCATATGCATATCTGGGAAGTAAATATTTAAAAGATAATGTCTATTTAGAAACCCAGCTTGACAAACTGAAAAGATCAGAGGCTTAATAATAGAACAAACAACAAGTTCAAAGTCTAATTCCATTCCTGATTTGTTATATAACTGTGGACACATTAGTTACCATCATTAAACTTCCATTTCCTTATTTACAAACATAGACATAGAAGGTCGATTCTCAGAGATGCAGAAATTGAATATAACAAAGAATATAGGCATTTGACTCATAGTAGATGTTCAAAAACCAGGCACTTTCAAGACTATTACAGTCCTGAAATCCTGTGAATGTGAATAACACTAAAGTAAAATTTCACCTTGACTTCTGAGACTATTGCAAAAAATCCATTGGTTGAATACACATCAAAAAATAAACAATTATAAATTACACTGCATGATGAACCCTTGTAAGCTTTGTTGCTTATAAGCAATAGAAAATGATTCTGATTGCCTTAGATAGGGGGGGAAAGGGTATAAGAAGGGTATCAGGGATCTCACCAAATTGACTGAGGAATAAGGTACATGCAGAGCAAGACAGATAATGTACAACCACAGTCATGCCACAGGCAAAGTGAACAGCCAGACCAGCACCACCAATACCACAACTGCACACATACTGTCCTGTAGCTGGGCTGCCCAAGAAGCCCCTCACCACTGGACCACTAGGATTTTGACCTCCAAGAACCTGCTAGCCCAAAAATGTGCCTGATACTTAGTCTTCTCTAAAGGCTTAAAGTCCCAAATAATAACATGTCATTGACCAAGCTTCAACAATGCATCCATGCTCTGGCTGCCAGAGACTCGGTGAGGGAAATGAAATGTCCCTCTTCTTATATTCTGTAGGCAGGAAACAGAGCACTTCCTCTTTCCTGTTCTATATATCCTTCAAATAACAGAAGGATTATGGACAGCAAAATAATCAAATCCTCCTGCCCAGCACACAGCGATAAGATCTGCTAAATGCACGGACACAAGTCTAACAAGAAATATGCAAGGCCTGTAGACAAAAACAGGGAAATTTCTCTCCAGGAAGTAAGAGAGATTGAAAGTAATTGATGAGGCAGATCATGTTTCTGAAACAGAAGCATCAATATTATGGAGATGTCAAATCCCCCCCAGATCTGCAAATTCACTCAAACTCTGACCAAATTCACAAGAGGTTTTCCTTGCTCATGTGTTTCAGAATTTGACAAGGCAAGTCCAAAGCTTATCTACAAAATAACAAGTGCAAAATAGCAAAGATTTAAAAAAAAAAAAAGAAGAAGAAAAGAAAAACAAGGAGACAAGGAAGTAGCTGCCATAGCAAATTCCAAAGCATGCTATAAGCCTGTAATTGCATATCATGGAATTGGCTCAGGCACGGGATGGCATTGTCTATGAGCCTGTAACTGTGTGGTAGGACATTGGCCCAGGAATTGGAAGGTATGGTATGGACTAAAAGAGCAAAACAGAACTGAGAGTCATTACACAGACACGCAGTATGCATAGCAAGGTATTTCCAACAGTGGGGAAGCAGCCATCAAAATAACCATTGTGTTTACAGGACAAGATTGCAAGTATTCAGGCCTGGTGAGACTTCATCAAGTCTCAGTTGCAGTTATAATCAGCTTTCCATATCTGTAGTTTCCACATCCACAGATTCAAGCAATGGCAGATGGAAAATACGTTTTGAAAAACTGCATCTGTACCAAACATGTATGGACTTTTTCTGCCATTACTCCCAAAAAATATAGCTTTTTTTTATCATAATTCCCTAAACAATATAGTCTATCAACTCTTCATATAGCTTTTCCATTGCATCAGGTTCGTAATTGGAATGGTTTTAAATGTGCAGGAAGAATGGTGGGTCCTTGGCTTAGTGATGCCTACTCTCTATGGCAGCGTGCCTGGGTTCAAATCCCAGCTTCATTTCCAGTGTAGTCCCAGGAAAGCATCAGTGATGGCTCAGGTAACTGGGTTGCAAACACATGTGAGGGACCTGGACCGAGGTCCAAGCCTCCAGTTTCAGCCTGGCCCTTTTCCTATCCATTGTGGACATTTGGGGAGTAAATCAGCAGATAAATTCTCTCATTCTTCCCCCACTCTCATATTTTTCAAATTAAGCAATTAATTCATGAAAATAAACACAATGTGTGGGAAGATACGTATAAGTATATACTGACTATACCATTTTGTATCAGGAAGTTGGGCATTCTTGGATTCTGGTACCTGCTGGAGGGCCTGAGACGAATGCACTGTAGATTCTAAGAGCTAATGGCATATGATACAGTATGAACCCTATTCCAAAAATGCATGTGTGTATAAACACAGGAAATCAATTTTTTAAAATCAAGCCTGTAAAAAAACAAATCTTACAGAAGTGGTTACCTTTGGGAAGTGGAGGGCACCAGAGAGGTAAATGCTAATGCTTAATCTATACGCGCCCATCAGC